CTGTATATAGGCCATATTTGACTTTTGACCTAGTACAATTGATTTTCAGGCATTTGAGGAGTTGACTGAGAAAACTTGTTGTGCAGGGCATGAAATTTGGCATGGATAATCTTGAGGACATATTAGGACCATGTGCAACATTTGAGACCATTGGGGTTCACATATCTTGATGAAAACTGAAACCCTAGTTAGAGGTTCATTACTTAGGAGGAGAATTTGTCTGGTCAATTCTTAGTCATCCTAGGGCAAGATAGGGATCTCATTGGACATGTCTTGAGTAAAATGAGAGGGAAAATTTTGGCGTACAACAGCTGCCCCTGTTCAATCTTCTTAAACCTGAGGATGTAGATTGGTTGGTCTGCCTTTCGTGATCTGAAGGTGGAAAATGATTAAACACTAGAATACCCAAAAATTTGCACTCGTCTACAGTAACACTATTAGTAGATAATATCGAGAATGGGCTTATAGATGCCATTTTGAAAAGATGACGGAAGATCTTCGGGGATGGGCTTAAAGATGCCATACAGAGAATATGATGGAGAGTCGTCAGTGATGGGCTTAAAGATGCCATCTAGAGAACAATGTTGGTTTCATGAGACATTCTTTTGTGAGGATTCCTATTCCTGTTGTTGAGGAGGACTCCACTAAGGAATGTTGGTCTCTGTCTCGGGAAATAGAGTTTAGGAGCTTCAGTTGTCCATTACTCTACTAGGGAGTCATCTCTTGACTGGAGAGACGAAAGTGAACTGATATCTGGTCAGGATCCAGGCTTCATAGCGACTTGCTGAGGATAATAAGGCTGACTGCTATCTGGTTGTATTTAAGGCTTCACATCGACTTACTAGGGAATGTGAAATTAACTTTTATCTGGTTGAACTCCAGGCTTTGCAGTTTCTTTAACTGGGTAAGAATCAGGAAATCTTAGTATCGATTTAACTGAACCAAAGAACGGTCTTGAGTTAACTTTGACTGGAATGGAAATCAGAAAAATCTTAGTGTCGATTTAACTAAACCAAAAAAAGGTCTTGAATTATCTTCAACTGGAATAGAAATCAGAAAAATCTTAGTGTCGATTTAACTAAACCAGAGAAGGGTCTTGATTCGTCTTCAACTAGAATAGAAATCAGGAAAATCTTAGTATCGATTTAACTGAACCAGAAAAAGGTCTTGAGTTATCTTCAACTGGAATAGAAATTAGGAAAATCTTAGTATCGATTTAACTAAACCAGAAAAAGGTCTTGGATTATCTTTAACTAGAATAGAAATCAGAAAAATCTTAGTGGCGATTTAACTGAACTAGAGAAAGGTCTTTAATTAACTTTAACTGGAATAAAATTCAGAAAAATCTTAGTGTCAATTTAACTGAACCAGAAAAAAGGTCTTGGATTATCTTCAACTAGAATAGAAATTCGAAAAATCTTAGTATCGATTTAACTGAACCAGAGGAAGGTCTTGAATTAACTTTAACTGGAATAAAAATTAGAAAAATCTTAGTGTCGATTTAGTTGAACCATAAAAAGGTCTTTTAAGAATATCTTTCTGAGGAAAATGCTGAAATAGCCCTTCGTTAGACGTAGCTTTTGATAAGACTACCAGGTCATGTAAGTAGTCGATGGTGTTTGTTGATTTGATCTTTCCTGAAAAGGTAAAGAATTAGTCGTATGTAATGTCATGATGTATGAAATGCATTGTGTAATGATGTTCTCAAAATAAATGAGATTATGCTGTATGTGATGTGTATGTGCATGCCATGATGTATGAATATTGAATGCTGTTGCGATATTTCCTAGTCAGGGAAAATAAATACCTGACTGCTGTTGCAGAGTATTGGGAAGATGAATCCCGGGCTGCTGTTTGATAGATGAAGAAAGTGATTCTTTCATCTTCGTTAGGAAATAGGACCAACCCATGGATCAAGAGAGCTAAGACATCTTCTAAAGCATGATAACTCATAGCATCCAGGAAAATATGAACTTTCTTAATCAGAAAGTTTACAAGGAGACCCTTAACTCCACTTCTATTTTCCCAATTGGACTCAATGTCAGATGGCTTCAAGTGCAAAGCTACAACAACATTTTCAGAAGCTGGGTGTGATACAGTGGCAGAACCGACTGTTAATACTGGTTTTTCGTTTGTATTTGCAAATGTTGCGGTAAGCAAGAGTCTCCACTGACTATTCTTTTATCCAACAAACGAAAGGATGAAAAGAATAGAAAAATACCTTTTTCGAAATTTTCTGAGTAAGGGGGTAGATTATGGAAAGGGAAGGTGTTAGCATCCTTTCCATCCATGGGTTTCCACGGGCTCTTAGGTACTTTCTCATTTTTGAAAATTGTTTTCGTGTTTGTGTGTTTTGAAAAGTTTGCTTGCTTTATGATAACTCTTGTATCAGTCCTCAAGAGTGTGATAAAGCATTTTTTAAAGTAGTTTTGAAAGTGTGGTGTGAAAATGAATTAAATTTGAGCAAGTACTTCAGAACTATCTACCTACTCGAAAAAGGGCATTCTTTTCCTCCTTTCCTTTAGATAGAGCTATCCTACTATTAATGAGTAGGTAGCCCCATCGTTGGATGTTTGAGGGACTATCGTAAGGGACGTTTATGGTCATTGTAGGAAACATGTAAGGATACCTTAGCATTTCGAAGGGACTGTCATCATATATTTGTAGGAAACATCAAGGGACAAGATCATTTCTTGTAGGCAACTCGAGGGACAGTTAGAGACTATGATCTTTATAATGACTTTAAACTTAGGGTCTTTGCTAAGATATCCCTACATTCGAGGGACATTACCATTTCCTAAGGAAACCAAAGTGGGAGATACTCTAGGGGTGCAAGTGTGCTATAGTGTTCTTTTTTGAGATATATTATCTCGATGCTAGTGATCTAAGACTGATTATTTAGTTCTTGCCATACACACCTAATTTACTAGCAGTTTATATACAGACATATAATATAGTGTGGAAAGTAAAATCGACAACTCTTACAAGGCTTCAGGGTAATTAGAATTATATCTTCCTGAAAATGTAAAATGCGGAAAATAAAACCCTAATTAAGCTATTACAAACCGGGTACAGTTACAATAATAATAAAAATATGAAAGTAAATAAACGCGCGCATGAATTGAAAATACGTCTAAAATCCTAAGTGAAAGGAATTTTGTTTGTTTGTTTTTGTTATGAAAAGAAATTGAATTAAAAATCCTAAGTCTACTCAATTTTAGTTTTTTAAGAAAATATTAAAATAATTAATTAGTTAGCTGACAAAATTAATTTAATATAAAAGGCTAAGCCTAATTTTTTTATGGTTTTTTAATTTTAATTGAAGCTTAAAAGGAGTAAGGAAAAACAACCAAAATAAAGGACAAAATCGAAAGACAAAAACAGTAAATGAAAAGAGTGCATTCTTGGAAGTAAGGCCTGGATCAAAGAGGCTTGGGTTGCCTTTCGATCCAGAGGGCTGATCGAAGACCTTGTTCGAGGGTCTTGGGGGTGCTAGATCTGCAAGCAAATTTGTTAGAAGTTGAAAATTCAAGGCCTGGGATTCGAACCCTGGCCCCTTCAATCGCACGCATTCCCTTTCACCACCTGAGCTGCTTGCTCATTCGAAATACATGACACCTGTTTTTGGTCCTGCAAATTAGTTAGTTCGAAACTAAACAAAACAGAAAACATCCCATTCGAAATCAATCCCTGAACCCGGATCTGGGTTTGTTTCGGTTTGCCACAGCTGGTATCATGGGATTCAAAGGTATCCAGCTTCAAAAAACTCTATCCATGGTGTTCGAACGTATGGACACTGCAAATTGCGTACATTTTGTTACATCACTCATAAATAACAACAAAAACTATGAACATGCAATCATGAGTCTAATTTAAGATTAAGTGGGATTGAACATTTTTTACCACTGGTGTCGCCTAGATCTGCAGTCCTGGGTGTGAGATGGCTGCGACACGAGCGAGTGTACATCAGTGTGAACATCAAGAACACGACCGGAGCGTTAATCTGGACGGAAGGTGCCTGCAGTAAATAGGACCAATCTCATTGTATTTGTTTAATTTATGTTTGATCATATTTGTTTTTTTTTGGATGCCGATATTTTTTTTTTGGAAATATTAATCCTGCTTATTTAATAAATGAATTTATTTTGTAATAGTATTGCCAATTTAGTTTTTTAATATGCCGGACAAATTCTTGATAACGCTTTGTAATTCTATTTTGTTGATCACACTTATTTAATTTTGATTTGTCTTGTATTAGCTTACATATAAGAATAAATGTTTAAAATTTTTGTTAGAATATAGGTTTACACCGATTTGACCAAATTGATACGATATTTATTTATCATATATAAACTTGCTTAATACACATATATATATATATATATATATATATATATATATATATATATATATATATATATATATATATATATATATATATATATATATATATATATATGCTGAAATATATTAGTTGATTGGTGAAATATATATATTTTTTGGTTATGAAAATAATAAGACATAAATTGTTTGTATACGCTTTCTATTTTTAAATAATTTGTAAAGTTTTTAGTTAACCTTATTTGTTTGAATATTTAATTTTAGAGATATTTATTTATTTTTTATATATTTTAAATAGAATTAAGTATGTCAAATCTTGAAAAACTTGACTTTGGGGCTCTTGGCATCTCGGAAAAGAATTATTTGCCTTAGGCTCTAGATGTTGTAATCCATCTAAATGCAGAAGGTCACGGTAATGGTATTAAAGAAGGAAATACATCATCTGATCAACAAAAGGAAAAAGCCATGATATTCCTTCATCATCATCTTCATGAGGACCTTAAAAATGAATATCTTACCATTAGTGATCCATATGTTTTATGGAAAAATTTAAAAGAGATATATGCTCATTAAAAATTGGTTATTCTACCAAAAGCTCGTTATGATTGGATGCATTTACGCTTGTAAGATTTTAAAATGTAAGTGATTATAAGTCTGCAATGTTTAGAATAACCTCTAAGCTGACATTGTGTGGAGAAAATTAACTGATGAAGATATGTTTGAAAAAACATTCTCCACTTTTCATGCATCCAATGTGTTCCTACAACAACAATATCGAGAAAAAGGGTTTAATAAATACTCTGATTTGATATCTTATCTTCTTTTGGTTGAAAAAAATAATGAACTCTTGATAAAAAATCATGAGGCTCGTCCCGCAGTTACATCTCCATTCCCGAAAGTGAATGTAGCAAGACACAATCACTATGTACAAAATCGTAGTCGTGGTCGTGCGTGTGGCCACATTGGTGGTCGTGCCCATAATTATGCTTGTGGTCTTAATTTTGATCATAGTCACAATGGCAATCATAAGAATGCATCTTTTCACCATAAGTGAAAAGATACTGAAAAGAATGAAAAAGGTGGTCAGAGTAGCAAAAATAAAAAAAAATATTGGCCATCGTTATGGGGGGAAAGGTCATTGGGGTCGCACTTGCCGTACACCAAAACACCTTGGTGATCTTTATCAAAAATCACTAAAAAGTAAAAATATAAGGATTGAGATACATTTTTCTAATAAAGACGGTGATCCCGATTATGACAATATGGATGTTACTCACTTAGAGATTGGTGATTTCTTTGTTGATCTAGATGGAAAAATTGATCACCTTATTGGAGATGGAACTTTCAAGAAATAAAAGTTATAGAATTTTTTTATTTATTTTAGTTATTATGAATGCTTTAAATTCTCAATGTTTTTTTTTAATTTAATTTTAAATTCAATGTTTGATTCTTGTTTTTGAATTAATTCCCTATAATAATAAAGTGAATTTTCTTCTTGTTCACTTACATAATCCATTGTTTAAATAACTTGTAGGTTTAAAGTGCACTTATAACTCATTATTTTTTTTAGAAGAGTGAATGTCAGAACTTTATCCACTAATGAAGATATTTGCCTCGCTGATAGTGCAACTACTCACACAATTTTCAAAGATAAAAAATATTTCTCTTACTTAGTAAAGCAAAATACTAATGTCAGCACTATATCTGGCACCTCAAAAATAATTAAAGGCTCTGGTAGAGCCAGTGTATTGTTAAGTGGAGGAACAATATTACACATTCAGAATGCACTATATTCCTTTAAATCTAAAGAAATTTATTAAGTTTCAAAGATATTCTCCTAAATGGATACCATATTGAAAAAAAAGATGATGGAGGTATTGAATATCTTTGTAGTACACAACAAAATTTGGACAGAAAATGTGTAATAGAAAAGCTACTGAGTTTTTCCTCGGGCTTGTACTACACTTATATTAGTACAATTGAAGCGCATGGCATTGTAAACCAGAATTTTACAATTAATAAAAAATTGGTATTTGGCATGATGGGTTGGGCCATCCCGGTTATATAATGATGCAAAAAATAATTGAAAATTTAGGTTGTAGCCGTAGAAATGTTGAGACTAAGCCATTGAATTGACTTAACTCGCACAGATCAAATAAAAATCACCACTGCGCTTTATTGTTTCCAGAGGAATGCAAAAAGAGAGAATAACCCATAAAAGAGGGGGAGAGAATCTAGGTACGAGGGTTGACTATGCAAAGGGAATGTATTAGCACCCTAAATATCTACAATACTCTACAAGAACCTCTTTGAAAATCTGTGTATTTTGGCTATAAATGTTGTATACAAAAATAGATGGTTGAGATGAGAAAAGAAGTTTTTTTTTTTACAATTTTACACCTATCGCGGTTGCGAACCTTTAGTGCCTACGTACCATATTCCGTGCAATAGGGGATCAGGGTACTTGTAGTTCACCTTTAAAAATTTTAAAATACATGTGTGTTGGTTAATTTTAAGAGACGGGACATCATCACCATATCCGAGAGGAAAACATAATTACTACCCATGATTATGAGAAAGGAGAATTTGCATCATCTCAAAGTGGAGGATATAGCTTGGATTTTAAAATAAACAAATCCTCACTCAACATCCAAGTGGATAATATCTCACTTCACTACATATCATAGAAGTATAGTAGCTTTAATCACTACAAGAATCGACAAGAGTCTAATCTTTTGATAAAAGTGTTAAAGTAAAAAGCCAAAGTGGAAAAATGGTTTGAATGAGGTTGATTTACTTTTAGTCTTCTCACAAAAAATATTAAAGTATGATTAGGTTGGTTAAATTTGATGAAGAAAATATTTTTTATAAATGCATGGACCTAAGTCCAAGTTTATTATGAAAGCGGTTCAAGCTAGAAAACAATAAGAGTTTTGAAAAGGAGGGAAAATATTTGAAAATTAAAGAAGATGGGAGAAGATGAAGGGACTATCCTAAAGCATAAAGGTAAAAGTTAAGGAAAATAACCATCTAACCAACAAGAAGCCAACACTTGACATAAATAAGTCAATGTAGAATTCCCATCCATTGGATTGAAACCAAGCAAGAAAAGATACTAAACCTCTCAAGAATACCAATCTTCAGATGAATTAAGCCTCCACACAAATTGGGCAGGGTAATAACTGTATATAGAGGAATTCTCAATCACAGACAAAACATATAATTTGAATAACCTGCACACAAAGAAAATCAACCCAATGTCTTTGGGTGAATCCCAAGAACTCCAGACAAAATAACAATAGAGTCACAAGGTCCCAAGGGTATCAGAGACTTCTAATCCTAAGTCCAAGAGATCCACAATCTCCATAATGCCAAGGATAATAATCAAATAGTCAAAGTAGCCTTAAAAAAATTTATGTTCAAGTTGGTAATTAAGTGTCTTCAAAAAGAAAATAAAAGCTCAAGTGAGCAAAATAAAAATGACATAAGGATAAGTGCTCAAGTGAGCAAATAAAAAATAGCATGAAATGTAAATGCTAAAATAAATCGTACATAAAAGTAAAGGCATAAAGATAAAAGGCAAAAAGTAAAAGCACAAAGTAAAAACACAAAATAAAGTCAATTGTTAATGAATTAGAAGTTAGAGGTTAGTTGAATGACCATATTGAAACTTGCATTTGAAAACTCATTAGAAGATTGATAAAATCAAAGCTTCTCATCAACAAGTATCATTTGCTTTTTGTCAAGTATGTCATTCATTTCAAATGCTCAAGAAGATCTCATATGATCAACGATGTTTAAACGATTCACTTAGACCAAAATTTATGAAGGTTCATTAGAGGATTGATAAGATCAAAGCCTCTTAATAATGAACCTCAAAGTTATTGGATCAAAAGTTTTAAATTAAACATGATTGGGCTTGAAAACATAAGTTTGGGATACAAATGATCATTTTTTTAATTGGGACAAATTTAGCGCTATGCTAAGCAATCGTAAGTGGACTTATGCAGAAGTCACACCTATTTTAAGGCCGGTCAATAACAATCTATGTACCATATGTTAGAGAAATGATATGTAGATTATTCTCCAACAACATGTATCACAATTAAGAAAGGGATAAGATGAAGAGGGGGGAGATGTATCAGATGAAATTAGGGTTTCAAATATCATCAACATCATTCATCCATTTTGGTGGATTTGTTTTTTCAACCTATCAACACCCAAGATCCAATGAGGTTGAGGAACTTGTCCCAAAATAACATCCAAGTTAGGACCAAATAAAAATAATAAAATAATATTGAATAAAATAATATTTAAGAGATCAATAAAGGGGAAATCATTGGTAAAAATACACAAAGTATACTAAAACACCAAATAAAAAAAATAGTCAGAAGTCAAACAAGATTCAATAAGTGTTGACAAATTTTTTTGGAATTTTTTAAAGTCATAAACTATTTTTAAAATTTAAAGAAATAAGCAGAATAAGCCAAAAATAGTAAAAAAAAAAGTTAAATCAGAAATAAAAATAAAACGAGTTCACTAATATTTGTCAAGAAGTCATTGGATCCTTCCATAAGTTTTCCAGAATTTAAAAATCAAGAAAAGTATTTTTAATCAATTAAAACAAGTTAAATAAAGTGAAAAATTATAAAAAAAATATCAAATCATAAAATAAAATTGTGAAAAAATAAAAATCAGAAAGAGAAAAATCAAAAGTATTTTTGAAATTTTTTTTAGAATTTTAAAAGTTAAAATGTATTTTTAAAAAAAAAATTTAAGTTTAAAACAATTAAAATATAAAATCTAAAAATAAAATAAAACCAAAATGATGTAGACCATTAGATCAATGTCAAGATGCGTTAGTAATCAAATCCAAGGAATCTAGCACAATGTGCATATCATAGACATTAGAGAATAAACCACCAGATCATTAATTAAAAAACAGATTTGAAAAAACAAGTGGTGCCTTATCATTGTTTGAGAGATGTCACGTTGGTCATATTCAACCTCCATCCATGCAAATTGCAGGTCTCACAAACTGTAAAATCAGGAGCTCAGACCAGTGTCATTCGCTTCGTCTCTTCAAGACGATTTCAATGGTACCCTCGCGAAATTTTTTTATAAGTTGTAGCTCAATCGATTTGAAGAAAACCAGAAGAAAAATGTTGAATAGGGATCTAAAAATTCATGATTGAAACTCACTTCCAGTTAAAAAAAATGATGTGATGAGAGCTTCATTGTAGTAACAAATTTTGAGAGAATTGATGGAGGAATCTACCTGTTGAATTTTAAATTCAGAGCTCTGAAACTTGACTTGAATATCACGATTTAGGGCACTTCAAGGCTTGATTCTTCTTCTATTAGCTTCATTGAAGTTCAAGGATGAAGAATCAGCAAAGAAGTTGGATTTAAAAAAGTTGTAGAACCAAATTCGAAGTTACAGAATTATGAGTTATAGATAGAGTTTGGCAGGGTGATTTTGGCTATCCAAGCTTGTTCAAATAATGTAGGGAGGGTCTCTATTTATAGGAGAATGTGATGCAATGCTGAGAGAGGATCAATGATAAGCAATCAAGTGAAATCATGCACACCCTGATCATGACAAAAGTGTGACTTGCAAATTGTCAAAAACTCAACCACTTCTTGTGTTTCGATCCTTAATCCAGCCTTAGAAACTTTGTTAAACATATTTAAGTGGAAAACATGCACAGAATTGGTGTTTATAAGCCACATTATGAAAATCAAAATCTGACTGTTTTGACAAAATCAGTTTCAAGGTGCCAACTTTAAATCCATGGTGCACCCAATTCAAGAGGCTTTATGGCATAATTATTGAAGCATTTGAAAGACCATGTCACACTATTTACAATGTGCCAAGAAATAATTCATTTGGATGCTTGAGCAAAAAGTTATGTCCAATTGAATTTGTGAAAAACACACGGATCTTTTGTACTTAAAAAAATTCCAAGTGTTGAACCTCTAAATTACCTATAATGTTCTTCAAAATTACCTGAATTTTCACACAAAATTTGATCTTGATATTTTAAGATCACATGAAGTAGACTTTATGAATTAAAGTGTGGAATTGGGATCACTCAAAAATCATAAAAATTGAAAGAGTTATGGTCTTTGGAAGATGATGAACAAATTTGGGGAAATTCAAAAAAGACCTATAATCTTTTCAAATTTTCAACCACTTTCCAAGCATCTTTAAGTCTTGCACGTCAAAACAAAGTTATAGTAGACATCCCAAAGATTTTTGTAGAAAAATAATGGGCTCAAGGAGATAAAAATTGACCAAGTTATGATCATTTGAAGTCAAACCCTAGAATTCAAAGGCCTTTCAAGGAGACTT